TTTTTTCTCCCCATTGCTGGAGGGGCTCTTGATGAAGATCTCTTGTGCTGGGTCCCCCTGCAGCTCAATCAGACCCCCTGCCCAATCATCTGCCCCCACGGCCCCCAGCACCAGCCGGCCCTGCACAGGGAGAGAAAGTCACCATGGGGCAAAGGAGAGGGCAGAGGCACTGGGGAACCCCTCAACTCCCATGCTTGGGTCCCCCCTGACTCTCTTAATGCCCACAGCTCCGTGCCTCCCAATCCCCTGCACTCCCATAGCCCAGCCCCCCATACTCCAAGTCCCTCCCCTCCTGAGCCCCTATACTCCTGGCCCCATGGTCCAGTCTCTCCACCAGCCCCCTCCCCAAACCTCCACAGGCAGGCCCTTCCTGACCCTCTTCCACCTCAATAGCCCAGATCCTTTCCCCACCTAATGCCCCACAGCCTTGACCCTTTCTTCTAACTCACTTTGGACATGTCCACGCTGAACCCGCTGGAGGAGAGCTCCAGGTGGAAGGAGCTGCGGCTGCTGGTACCTACAAGACAGACGGGGCTGGGAGCTCAGAGCAGTGACTCCTGTATGAACAGCACCCGTGCCTCACCCCAGAGACAGATGCATCTCAGGGGCGGCTGACAGAAAGGAGGGTTAGAGTAAGGGGGCTCCACAGCAGGACTCCTGGGTCCTACCATGGGCTCTGGGAAGGGAGTGGGAGCTGGGGGGTTAGAGAAATGATGGGAGAAGGGGGAGTCAGGGTTCTGATTATGTACCTCAGTATTGCTGAGTTCTGTGTCCACTGCATGCTCTGGGCTGCTGCCCATATCCAATGCATCCACCAGGGGCGCTGGGGGCTGTGTGCATCTCGCGCATCCACCAGGGGGCTCTGGGGACTGTGTGTATCTAGGGCATCCACCAGGGGGCGCTGGGGGCTGTGTGCATCTCGTGCATCCACCAGGAGGCGCTGGGGGCTGTGTGCACCTCTTGCATCCATCTGGGGCTCTGGGGACTGTGCGTATCTAGGGCATCCACCAGGGGGCGCTGGGGGCTGTGTGCACCTCTTGCATCCATCTGGGGCACTGGGGACTGTGTGTATCTAGGACATCCACCAGGGGGCGCTGGGTGCTGTGTGCACCTCGTGCATCCACCAGGGGGCGCTGGGGACTGTGTGGATCTAGTGCATGCGGGGCATTGGGTGCTGTGTGTACTTATTGCAGCCACTCGAGGGCGCTGGGGGCACCTAGTGCATCCACCACCTAGTGCTCCCTCCTCGGTCCGGCCTGGGGGCGGGTACCTTCGATGTCGTAGATTTTGGCCTGCAATTCGCTGAAGAGATTTTTGAGCTTGTCGAAACTGTCCAGCACTTTGACAAACTGGCTGACGGGCTCGGAGGCGAATTGCTTCAAGATCCCGAACTTGTCCTTTGCAAAGTTATTGCCAATCTGGGTAGAGCAACGGGGGAGGGTGCAGCCTGCATCAGTCCCACTGGGCCAGGAATCCTGGGTTCTCTCCCCAGTGGTGACCGCAGAGGGGCTGGGAGGAGCCAGCACATCTGGGGTTCCTTACCCCAATGATGTAGCGAACAATATTCTTCTTTTCGGCAGCCTTCACATCCCCCGAGTCAGAGGGATCCCCGTCTGTGATCATGATCATCACTCGCTTCGCATCTTCCCGGGCGCCACGTTTCGGGGTGAACACCTGTTCCCTGCAGGACACAAGGCAACAGGGCAGCCAAACTCAGAAGTAGCCAGTGCCAGACCTGGCCACAGGTGCTGTTTATACAGGGATCCCCACCAGCACCGAGGTGTGCCCCTCCTCACTCTGGGGTGGAGCATGGGGGGGGGGGGGTTGGTTACCATGAGTCCATCTCTCCCTCCCTCCCCAGGTTACTCACGCAACTGTGTGGATGGCTTTGAAAGTGAAGGTCAGGCTCTTCATGTGCCTCACTTTCCCCAGGAGCATCCGGGGATTTGGGTTTTCTTTGTAAGCATTAAAGTCAAATTCTATCCTCACATCAAGGGAAAACTGCACTGCAGCAAACTGGCGGGGGAGAAGGGCTGTCAGAACTTCATTGCTGAAACCCAGCACCCTAGTGCCAAGCTGGGAGATGGGGCAGAGCCAGGACCCCCTGCAACACAGCGCCCCCTCGTGCCAAGCTGGGAAATGGGGCAGAGCCAGGACCCGCTGCAACACAGCGCCCCCTGGTGCCAAGCTGGGAAATGGGGCAGAGCCAGGACCCCCTGCAACACAGCGCCCCCTCGTGCCAAGCTGGGAAATGGGGCAGAGCCAGGACCCCCTGCAACACAGCGCCCCCTCGTGCCAAGCTGGGAAATGGGGCAGAGCCAGGACCCCCTGCAACACAGCGCCCCTTCGTGCCAAGCTGGGAAATGGGGCAGAGCCAGGACCCCCTGCAACACAGCGCCCCTTCGTGCCAAGCTGGGAAATGGGGCAGAGCCAGGACCCCCTGCAACACAGCGCCCCTTCGTGCCAAGCTGGGAAATGGGGCAGAGCCAGGACCCCCTGCAACACAGCGCCCCTTCGTGCCAAGCTGGGAAATGGGGCACTGCTTGGACCCCCTGCAATGCAGCGTCCCTTGGTGCCAAGCTGGGAGATGGGGCAGAGCCCGGATTCCCTGCAACGCAGCGCCCCTTAGTGCCAAGCTGGGAAATGGGGCAGAGCCAGGAGTCCCTGCAATGCAGTGCCCCCTAGTGCCAAGCTGGGAAATGGGGCACTGCTAGGACCCCCTGCAACGCAGTGTCCCCACGTGCCAAGCTGGGAAATGGGGCAGAGCCAGGAGTCCCTGCAATGCAGTGCCCCCTAGTGCCAAGCTGGGAAATGGGGCACTGCTAGGACCCCCTGCAACGCAGTGTCCCCACGTGCCAAGCTGGGAGATGGGGCAGAGCCAGGACCCCCTGCAACACAGCGCCCCTTAGGACTAGGCGGGGCAGGAGTCAATCCCATACGCGTATCGTGCTGTTTCCCAGTTTCTCCATGACGCTGATCATGAAGTCCAAGATGGCTTGGAACTGCTCGTCGGTCATGCTTCCAGACCCATCAAACAGAAACACCAGATCCACGTTCCCCTTCAGGCAGTCTGCGGGGGACCAATGACAGGGCTGGAGCGCAGTCGGTGGGGGGGAGGCTAGAGCAGGACTCCTGGGTGCTGTGGGGAAGCAGTGGGGGAACAGCGCTTGGGGCTTGTCTGTCCCTTACCTACATATCCTGGTGTCACCTCCTGGGGCCTCTCCAGGCGTCCCCTGAAGAGGTAGCAGGCCCCACTCACGTACAGGTTCCCATCACATGTTCGTTGCAAGCCTGGGCCACAGGTCTGGGGGGTACCAAGTGGGGCAGTTATCAGCCAGGGGCGGTGGCAGGAAACCAGCCCTCCTTTGACCAGCCCCTCCCATGGGGCAGGAGCGTGTCTATAACCCATCAGGCCGCCCCTCCCCGTGGACTCACAATCACCCGGTCGTCTTCACTGTCACTCTCCAGGACCATGCCGAGATACGGCATCTGAGCGCTGTCTGCAAGGAGAGGGAACCGGGGTCAGTGCCATGCCCCTTCCAGGACTCCGCCTCCCCTGCCTCCCCCATGTCTCCCCAGACCCACTCGTTCTTCACTGCGCACTGGTACAGCTGGCCGGTGGAGTTCTGGTCGCCCGGCGCGCCCACGAGCAGGCTGGAAAACAAGGCAGATGAGACCCAGGGGGCGAGAAATTCCCGCCTGCCGGGGACACCACTCAGGGTGGGAGCTGGACCCAGGCGAGGTGACTCCCAGCCCCAATGAGGTTGTGATTTCTGGGCTTCACTTTGCCCCTCCTCGGGGGCCCGAGATGCCAGACCGGGCCCCGGGCAGAATTCACTTCCCAGTGCACCCTGGGGGATGCAGCCTGGTTTCGGGTAGTGAAAGGGGAACAAGCTTTGTGGTTTGTGCATGACCCAGGAGTGGCCGTGACCTGGCTGGGGGATCCCGCTGGGAAAGAGCTGGCCAGGGCGTGGCCATACCGGCATCGCGGTCCGGGCCGGGTTACCCTCTCGAGCTGAGAACAGAGCCCAGGAGGTGGGCCAGCCTGCCCCACCTGCTCTAAGCCACTCCCCTGCCTGCACCCAGGAGTCCCTGCCCCCTGGCTCCCGCCCCTCCTAGTGCCCAGGGGAGAACCCAGAAGTCCTGGCTCCCTGCCACCTCTGAGCCACCAGAACCCACTCCCCTGTGAGTGTCTCTTACCTTGCATCTTTGGACTGCAGCACCTGATACCCGAAATTCCCACCTGCATCGGAGGCCAGCACCCGTGGGTGGGTGGTGTCGATGTTGTACCCCAGGGTGGGGGTTGGCTCTGCAGGGGAGAGGGAGGTTGATGGAAATTGGATCAGAGCAGCTCTTAGTGTGGGCACAGGAGCATCCTCCCATGCAGCTCCCTCCGCATGCAGGGTGGGGGCCAGCGTTCCCTGGCAGCCTAGCGCTTGGGCGGCTGTCCAGAAGAGATTCAAATGCACCCAGCTGATTGCAGAGCTCCCACTGCCGGCAGCATGTACTTCTCGTGGTGGTGCACATCTGCACATGCACAGAACAACATTTATTCCACACATGGGTGGAACTAGTTAAGGCCGCATTTCTCAAACTGTGGGTCCCGACCCCCTAGGGGGCTGCGAGCAACTTAGAGGGGGTCGCGGTATCACAAAGTTTGAGAACCCCTGAGTTAGAGGGCACATGGGTGGGGATATCTCTGCTCCCCCTCAAACTCTACCCCAGCCCTCTGCCCCAGAGAATCCACGCCAGTCTCCCCAGCACCCTGACCTGGTGCTGTATCCGTCTGCTCTGCCTTCTCCCCACGCCATCTCTCCCTCCTGGGAACCCTGCCTTGGTTCGGTCTTCTGTGCCGTGTGGTTTGTGACACGTGGTCTGACCCCAGCCCCGGGCCCGGCCCAGTTCTGCAATGTCAGTTCACACCTCCCCGCCCTGCTTGCCCCATGTGGCTGTCAGTGCGCCACTAGCTGACAGCGGGGTGCCTGGCTCGCTGCCTGCATAGGTTGGGGGAGCGGGGACAGAGAGAGCTCCACACATAGGCAGCCCCCGCCCTGGAGGGTCATGGGATGGGAGATGGGTTTGTTTATTCCATCCAGCCCCCAGCCACGCTGTAAGCCAGGGGAGTGCTTAATGCACCTTGCAGGACAGAGGCAAATCAGTGCTGAGACCCAACAAACTCACCTCACAGCGGGAACCACTGCACAGGGCTCAGGCGGCAGCAGGGTTGCAGTGGGCCAGGAGGAGGGATGCAGGATTGCTGGGCAGAGGCCGAGCCGGGGGAGGAGAAGTGAGGAGGGAGGCTCTGTGTCTCCAGCCTGGGGCCAGAGGGCCAGGGGAAAAGCCCATCCCCCTCCAACTACAGCCAGGGAGGCCCCATGGCAGCAAACAGGGGAGTGCCCTGGCTCCTGGGCTGAAGGGAGGGGAGCCCCACATGCTGTGAATAACCCACTTCCACCCTGACCTGATTGGCCTCATTAACCCAAGCAACTTCTTTCTTCTATATAGTCCTGCTCCTGCGACGTGCACTCCAATTCATCTGATGAAGTGGGTTTTACCCACGCAAGCTTATGCCCTAATAACTGTTAGTCTGTAAGGTGCCACGGGCCTCCTCGTTGTTTATGCTTCATTTAACTCATTGCTCGGGGGTGGGGCTGGCATTGAGGGGAGCAGGATAAGGGCTGACCCCAGGAGAGAGGACAACCTCAGCCCTGGCGCACAGTAGCAACTTGAGGCCAGGTGAGAAACACCTCTCCATGGTTGTGGTAGCTGCAGTAGGTGCAGCCAGGAGAAGGGTGCATGTCCCCCAGCTGAGGAACAGACAGACATACAGACACAAAGACAAACTCTCTTAACTGTACAGTAGACAGCTGTTCCTTTTCCCACCTCTGCCCCTTGGTGGCCTCGTGGGTTTATAGTGGTCCACATCCCCATCCCCTGCCCCTTGCTTCCCCCCCATGGTCATTATATAGTATAACTGACCCCCCCTTTCTGTTTTATGAGAAATAATCACAATCCAGGCACATCCCATTGTCCTGGCACAACCAAACCCTGCCCTTATTTTAAGTTACAATAAGAGGAAGCTGCCTAGCAAATGTGGTGGTCCTACCTCTTGCTGTTTAGGATGGGTGCTTGAACAAACAGACAAACTCTCTAAAATATATAGTGGGTAGAGAGCAGCATAAACAAGTCACCTGAGTGAAACTTTCACATGGCTAACTTCTGTGGAGCCTCTTGTAAAACTAGGCACATATCTGAATGAGTTACTGTACCCCCCACTAGACCCTCCCAAATCCACCAGCCCTTCCCCCCACACCTCAAGCCTGCTTCATGGCAGCTCCCTTCCACACTCTGAACCCCTCATTTCTGGCCCCATCCCAGAGCCTCGTGAGGCCCACAAAATCTACTAGCCCAGTCCCTCTAGGCAAGGGAAATGTGGGGAGTGTTTTTCTGTTTCTCAGTCGGGGGCCACCTCACTGTGATTTTGGGGGGGGAGGTTGCTTCTCACTTTTGTGTGCCCGTGAGTGGTTTTTCTGTGGGCCAGCACCCCCCTACCTAAAAAAGTCTCCTCACCCGTTGTCTAGACAGCAAGTATATCTAGCAAGGGATATTTCAGGGGGAGGGGGTGGAAAAGGCGCCTATGTAAAAAATACCCCAAAATTGGGACTGTCCCGATAAAATTGGGACAGCTGGTCACCCTAGCTCTGACCCTTCTTCCTGCATCTCCATGGCTTTCTGTCCCAGCTGGAAGAAGAGCGGCCCCGCATCTGCCAGGGTCAGTTTAGGGCATTGTTCCCGGGGGGCAGAGTTAAGGTTACACTGAGATCTGCTTTCCCCTGGAACTACAGGGTGAAACTGCTCAGCGTGAGCCCATAGGTGGCTCAGTCCCTGCAGGACGCTGACTGACAGTCTGTGTCTAAAGTGACTGGTTTGACCCAAGGGCCTGGCAGGGGGTTGGTGACTTGGACTTTGTGGCAGATCTAAGAACTGAGCTCTTTGCTGCGGGTCCACTCCTGCCGTCAGCGGCGCCTTTATCGACCCACGTTTCATTGCTCCCAGCACCACTGCTCAGCAAACGGAGGAGGAACCGGTAGCAGGTGCCCTGGTGCTGACGCAGGGGCGCAGCAAAGGTCGAGAAAGCCTTTCAGTTTGGAGGCCGATTTCTTCCAAGGGCTCTAGCTCAGCGTCACTCAACCTTTCCAGCCTCCCTCACCCTCTTTCTCTCACCTACTCCCACACTGCACCTCGCTCCAGAACAACGAGCCAGAAAACGACAACCTTGTCACCGCCACGCAGTTGCTGACTTGCTCCTTCCCGCTCCCCACCCCCCGAATTATAAAACAAAGCCACTGGGGTATAAATGTTGTGCTTGCCCCAAATTCGTCATGATCAGCTTAGGATGGACTAACGATCTCGGCTGGTTAACACATTAACACATTCCCCTCTCACCTCAATGCTGTGAATAACCCACTTCCACCCTGACCTGATTGGCCTCATTAACCCAAGCAACTTCTTTCTTCTATATAGTCCTGCTCCTGCGACGTGCACTCCAATTCATCTGATGAAGTGGGTTTTACCCACGCAAGCTTATGCCCTAATAACTGTTAGTCTGTAAGGTGCCACGGGCCTCCTCGTTGTTTATGCTTCATTTAACTCATTGCTCGGGGGTGGGGCTGGCATTGAGGGGAGCAGGATAAGGGCTGACCCCAGGAGAGAGGACAACCTCAGCCCTGGCGCACAGTAGCAACTTGAGGCCAGGTGAGAAACACCTCTCCATGGTTGTGGTAGCTGCAGCAGGTGCAGCCAGGAGAAGGGTGCATGTCCCCCAGCTGAGGAACAGACAGACATACAGACACAAAGACAAACTCTCTTAACTGTACAGTAGACAGCTGTTCCTTTTCCCACCTCTGCCCCTTGGTGGCCTCGTGGGTTTATAGTGGTCCACATCCCCATCCCCTGCCCCTTGCTTCCCCCCCATGGTCATTATATAGTATAACTGACCCCCCCTTTCTGTTTTATGAGAAATAATCACAATCCAGGCACATCCCATTGTCCTGGCACAACCAAACCCTGCCCTTATTTTAAGTTACAATAAGAGGAAGCTGCCTAGCAAATGTGGTGGTCCTACCTCTTGCTGTTTAGGATGGGTGCTTGAACAAACAGACAAACTCTCTAAAATATATAGCGGGTAGAGAGCAGCATAAACAAGTCACCTGAGTGAAACTTTCACATGGCTAACTTCTGTGGAGCCTCTTGTAAAACTAGGCACATATCTGAAAGAGTTGCTGTACCCCCCACAAGACCTCTGTGTATCCCTAGGGGTACGTATACCCCCAACTGCAAACCACTGCTTTAGAATCCATACACTTATTCATATTCCTTTCAAATCTGTCGTGTGGTGCTGGGTAGGGTTAGCGACCCAGCCTGGGATAATTTGAATGAGAAATGTTCCCCAAACGCGGTATGCGTTACAATTGATTCTGACGAAGATTTTTGCACAGACGTGAGGCTCACACCATGCGCCTGTGCTCCATAAGGTCTTAATCGCGCGGCACTCAACCCAACTAGTGCTAAGTGGCAACTGATTTGGTGTCAAGCGATTCCCTGCAGGCATAGGGACACCCACAGCCCCTACGGGGAACCCAAATGGAATCTGAAAAAAAGTTTGGCTCTTTCACTGGGCGCATGGGTACCAGCTGTGAACCAAACAGCAGTGGCAGGGGAAAGGGGAGTGATGTGGCCCCAGCCCGCTCTTCTCACCCCACTTCCAGCTGTATCACTCAGGGGAGGGGACTTAGGGGAAGAGGCAGAAAGGGGCAGGGGGGAACGGATCAGCAGTATGATGGGGGAGGGCAGGGGCGGGGCCTGTGGCAGAGGAGAGTTGTCCTGGTTTTTCCCCCCAGGTGTGGGGAGGAGTCATGTGGGGGGAGGCAGCCACCTGGCCAGTACCCCCGTGTCCCCAATCAGCAGTCGACCTCCTTCCTCCCTCTGTCCGTCCTGCTCTGCTTCTTCCCCATCTATGTTCTGCCCCAGGCCCTGCCCCGGCACGACCTCTTACCCCCACTGCCCCGCCCATGCGGTGCCCCCTAGGCCCTGCCCCCACTCAGCCTCTTCTCCATAAGGCCCCGCCCACACTGTGCCCAAGCACCCAGCTCTGCTCGACTTCTTACTGCTTACTGCTCACAAAGGGGAGGCAAGTGTTGGGCGGGGCCTCACGGGAAAGAGGCTGAGTGTGGGCGGGGCTTGAGGTGCAAAGTGGGCAGAGTAGAGGCCCCTTCTGAGCGTGGGCCGGGTGCCCCAGCGCCATTATAA